GGATTCATTTTGTAATTCTAAATCCTCCAAAATAATGATTCTCTTGCATGAGGCGGGGAAGAGACGAGACGCGTGGGCATCGCTATTTTTGCCATTCTCAAAGTCCAAATCTTCTAAAATGAGGATTGCCTCACATATAATGAGGGAGAGGGGCGGCGACGAATATATATCGCCATTTTGTCATTTCAAAATCCAAATCTTCCAAATTGATGATTCCCTCGCGTGGGGCGACGGAAAAAGGCGGGGACACACGAGAATCTCCATTTTGTTATTTTCAGAATCCAAATCTTCCAAAATAATGATTTCCTCGTTTGTGGCGCTGGAGAGGGACGGATACGCGCCGAATCATTATTTGGTCATTTTCAGAGCCTAAATCATCCAAAATGGCGATTCTTCCGCGTACGTGGTGGAGAGACACGAAGACCCACGGGAATCGTTCCAAATGGGGATTCTCCCGCGTGGGGCGGCGGAGAGCTAGAAGGACGCACGGCAATCTCTATTTTGCCATTTTCAGAATCTAAATCTTCCAAAATAACGATCCCCCCCCCCACGTATGACGCAAGAAAGCGGCAGAGATATATAAGAATCGTTATTTGGCCAAATTTCAAGAGCCCAAATCCTTCAAAATGACGATTTCCTTCCCCCGCGTATGGAGAAGACGACGATATACGAGAATCTCATTTTGATATTTTCATAGCCTAAATCTTCCAAAATGGCGACGCCTCCGTATGTGGCAAGAATCTTCATTTTGCCGTTCTCAGAGTCCAAATCTTCAAAAATAGAGATTTCCGTGTGCGGCGGCTGAGATGGGCGGGCACGTATGGGAATTCTTATTTTGTCATGTTCAGAGCCTAAATCTTCCAAAATAGAGATTCTATCCGCGCGTCGCGGTGAAGAGAGGCAAGAACATATGGGAATCGTTATTTTGCCATTTTCATAGCCTAAATTCTCCAAAATGGAGATTCCCTCGTATATCGTAGAAAGAGGGACGGGACGCGTGAGAATTATTTGTTCTATTTTCGTAGCCTAAATGAAAATTCCCTCGTGCGTGGCGAAAGAGAGAGATGGAGACGTATACGAATCGATATTTTGACATTTTCAGAATCCAAATCTTCCAAAATAGAGATTCCTCCAAATGGGACGATGGAGAGGGGCGGAGACGCACGGCAATCATCATATTGCCATTTTCAAAATCCAAATGCTCCAAAATGGCGATTCCCTCGTATAAGGAAGGGAAGAGAGACAGGGCGCGTGGGCATCGCCGCTTTTGCCATTCTCAGAGCCCAAATCTTCCAATTTTCTCGCGTATAGTGGCGGAGAGGGACGGGAACATACGGATATCGCCATTTTGCCATTTATAAAATCCAAATCTCCCAAATATGATAATTCTCCTGCTTTTGGGAGGCGGAGAGACTTACAGACACGAGAATTCCCCTGCACATGACGATTAGAAAGACGAAGACATATGGTAATCACTATCTTGCCATTTTCAGAGCCTAAATTCTCCAAAATGGGGATTCCTCCGCGTGCGGCAGAAAGAGAAGAGTGTGGAAAGACGACAATTCATATTTTGCCATTTTCAAAGTCCAAAACCTTCAAAATGAAACTTTTCCGGACGGGACGTGAAGGGGGGGGGGGGCGACACATGAGAATCTCCATCTTACCATTTGCAGAGCCCAAATCCTCCAAAATGATGATTTGCCCGCGTGGAGCGGCGAAGAAAGACGAGAATTCTCGTTTTATCATTTTCAGAATCTAAATCTTCCAAAATGGAGATTTTCTTCGCCTAAGGCGATGAAAAGAGACGGAGAAGTATGAGAATTAAAATTTGTCATATTCAGAGCCTAAATCCTCCAAAATGGAGGTTCTCCGCGTACGACGGATGAGATGGGCAGGCACGTACGAGAATCTTCATTTTGCCATGTTCAGAATCTAAATCTTCCAAAGTGATTCCTTGTACGCGCGTCGTGTTGGAGAGAGGCGAGAATATACGATAATCGCCACTTTGCCATTTTCCTATTCTAAATCCGTTCTCGCCCCTCCCCATCACTACACGCGAGGAAATCCCCATTTTGGAGGATTTGGATTCTGAGAATGGCAAAAACGGCGATGCTCACGCGTCTTGTTCCTCTTCTCTGTCATATACGAAGGAGTCGTCATTTTGGAGCGCCCCTCTCTGCCGTTTCATGTGGAAGAATTACCTTTTTGGAAGATTTGGGCTCGTACGGATATCGTTATTTTATCGTTTCCAAAGCTCAAATCTTTCCGAATATGGATTTCCTCACGTATAATGACGGAAAAAAGAAGAGACGTACGGTAATCTCTATCTTACCATTTCCAGACCCCACTATTTCGCCATTTTCAAAACCCAAATCCTACAAAATAGGGATTTCCCCGTATTATCATCAGAATCCCAAATTTTTAAAATGCTAATTCCCCCGCGCGCAACCATAGAGAAAGATTAAATTTTTTTCCAAAAAACGACGCCATTTTATATCGCGAAAGAAAAATCAAAATATATTATTTATAGAATCCAAGTCTGCCAAAATAATGGCTCCCTCCATTCGTAATTATAATAGAAGCGAGGCTATAAGAATCTCCAACCTAAATTTTCTAAAATATTTTTTTACTTCTTCCAATTCTCATATCAATCATTATTCTTATATCATATTATATTTTCTTTTTAATACGAAAAACCATTAAAAAATAAACGATAGCGATCAAAATCGATAATAAATTAAAATATTTTCGCCCTCCGTATCACGTCCACCATATATAATATTCTTACGACATACATACCCTCATCCATCACTCGGCGACACTCTCCACCACTTTTATCCCAATACGCCGCGACACCAAACTCGCACAACACTCCTCACGACACGCATGCCCCACGCCACAACACTCCTTCCGAGCCGCTCTCGCACGCCCACGACGCACTCGCCCCCCGCCCGCCACTTGATACGACACTCATACCCTCGAACGCCATTCTGCGACGCTCTCCACGGCACACACGCTCTCGACAGCAACTTGCGTTTCCATGTCCCGGTCTGTACCTACGATGTCTAATCGGTTCATGCGACTATGTGACAAATACGATAAGTCTTCAAAGTATTTTTTCTATATATTCATGATGATATGATATAGAATATAGCTGAAATTATTTTAAGAGGTGATTATTAGATTTTCATTTCAAACTTAAGATTTTTTGAATATTTCGTTTTTAAATTTCGGAGTTTCCCCTGAAATCTCCGGGATTTGGGGGGTTTGTACCATCTCATATTCGCGGGAAATTCAGTGCCTCGTATCACGACATGATCGATCGACTTTATTCTGTAATCTAGCTTTCAATTCATTACGCCACTCAATAAAGGATTGATATCATCGATATTCAATATTATGGTTAATGATTGGACGCTCTGTATATAATGCGTGTTCCGTGTATCATGTACTCTAACATCTATTAATATTTCTTCTAATCAGGTTGACCACCCTTCTCTCTATATTGCCAATACGACCAGCTAACGCTACAGATCATTAGCTTCGGAAAGTAAGTGCAATGGCACTACCCGCCAATGTTTCAAGGCTGGGCCTCATCTAAATACAAGGAGACCGAGAAACGAAATCACGAACCGGGTACGAAAAACATCTCCTTCAATCGCAACACTAAAACTTCATGAGTACTGTACACGTGACTATTGCCTCATAACCAAAGCAATCTTCGACGCGGTTCGGGAATGGGATATGCTAAATCCCATGCAAACAAGGGGTGATACCACTGAGCCCTTACAGATACGACCCTACCAACCCCCCAGTATCATGTAGTTCAAGAGCTACTCAGACCGCTAACGAAAATGAACATCATATAATCTGTTGAAGCCGCAGAGCTTGTACGTACTCCATCAGCTTTTTTTGCCGGCAGTGGGCAGTGGTTAGGGGGAAGAAAACGTTTGAAGCGCAAACGCGTAAGTCCCATCGTTATGGCCAGTTGGGTGAAGTTTCTGGTTCGTCTTTATTTCACAGTTCGTTGCGGCTTTAACGGGACTTCTTGCGGCCTCTCGCCACAAGCCACCTGATTCGACGAGCAGGCGGGCAGGGGTAAACAATGGCAAAAAGATCTGCGAAGGCCAGGCTTCCTCAAGCAGTGGTGCTCCGCATTCAGCAGCTGCTTTTTCGAACTGGGATTGACGATGGTTTCGTTGCATGACAGCTCGGATCTCCACATGCTCGAAAGTTGTCTTTAAGTACGGACGTCAAGCAACGACCCAAGTCACCCAGTCTGGCCTGAGCTTGGTTTTCAGAAGAACATCATTGAGCACTGCTCGCACATACAAACACCGTACTCTGCGCAGATGGCTTCCACCATCTACCACGAAAAACATGCGAGGCTAGGCTTTAACTTCAGACTAGGAAATCTCGGGCATTGGCTGCTTGCCTGAGTTTAATCACGCTGAATGGACTCCGGACTCCGTCCGGGCAGCAGCGAAGGCCCGGTGATAAAGGAGCCAGTGTCAACCCTCGTGGGTGCTGCCGCATGTATTTTGGTATAATCGACCGACTGACTGTAAGGCCCACCCAAATGTTGACAGTAGCTCATAGAAACGCAGAGCAACATCTATCTGTACATCCAAGCTCCGTATCCAGACACATTGGAGTCTGAATTGGCTAGCTGATCGAGCAGCAACCTTCATCAGAAGCAAGCGCATACTTTCTCAACCAGTCGTTGTCCTTGGTAGCAAACCTCGGGCATCTGAGTTTAATCACGCTGAATGGCCTCCGGACTCCGTCCGGTCAGCAGCGAAGGCCCGGTGATAAAGGAGCCAGTGTCAACCCTCGTGGGTGCTGCCGCATGTATTTTGGGATAATCGAGCGACTGACTGTAAGGCCCACCCAAATGTTGACAGTAGCTCATAAAAACGCAGAGCAACATCTATCTGTACATCCAAGCTCCGTATCCAGACACATTGGAGTCTGAATTGGCTAGCTGATCGAGCAGCAACCTTCATCAGAAGCAAGCGCATACTTTCTCAACCAATCGTTGTCCTTGGGACGGAACAGACATGACGGAACATAGCATGACCTACGGAAGATCGAAGAACAAGAAGAGCTCTTGCTTTGGGGCTCCATGGCAGACGAAGCCGTCGGTCGGCCAGAGGACTCCAGGCTCAAGAGCTCCTGTGCCAGGGTATGCCCGTCTCCGAGATGTCCTTAGCTCGGGCTTGGCCAGGCCCTGATCCCGCACTTTGCTGCCTGTGGCCAGGTGGCTCCAGTACTCGTTGGACTGCAAGGTCAGGGGGACCTCTGCCAGAACTTGGTCGTAGTGCCTCATCTCGTGATGTCAACTTGTAAGACGTGTGTGTCATTTCGGAGCTTAGCCCGACATGGACGTTCGGCCCAGTTGCTGCTGGTTGGTCTGTGTAGAAGGCCACAGACGCATACCTGGCCATGCAGGGAAGGAAGCAATAGTTTGCATGCTGTTGTTATATGATATGTACTTAAACCGATAAGCACGTAAATGAACAAATCAGTGATTCGACTCTCCCGCTTTGCATCTGAGGAATCTGCACACCGTCGAGGCTGGTATTTCCATCAGCCGAGGAGAAAAGAGAAAATTACCCAGAACTCCCGTACTTACCCAACGTATGTAGTAGTCCACGCCATGAACTATACCAAATCTTGCCCTCAATTCCTTCTTGTTTCCACCCGATGGCTTGTTGCAGGAGGTCGGCGAAGCCAGCTGCGATGGATTCCACCTTGTCTTTCTGTCCACGTGGCGGCGTGGGCAGAAAAAGCGCCGCAAAGATCCCTTGGAGGTAGATTTCCATGAGCTTGGCTGAAGCCAACCGACCCCGCCTCCTAACCAGCTCAGAGTCTTCCGTCTGCTGCAGCAAGTGAGTCGCTCCCCCTGCCCGAAATGAACCCAGGTCAATAGGCCTGGTCCCTTTCGGAAAGGGGTAGCTCCGATTCGTGACAGCAAGGTGTGTAGACTCTGAGGGGAGAAAGGCCACAGCTTCTGGTCACGCGAAAGAGACCTTAAAGCCAGGACGACAACCTTTATCAGATCGTCAGCCTCGATCTCAGCAGACTGATGTCTCGGGCCTCTGTTCCTGGTCTTTGGCTCCTTGGTGCTGGCGAGGACGAACCGCTGCGTGTACCGGACGTCCTCTGGGAGGATGAGATTTGCCCACAGCCTGTTTCTCGAAGCCACCCCCATGTGAAATGGGCTTGATCGCGGTAATGGCATTTACTGTTTCAGCAAAGTGATAGGGCCGACCAGATCCATACAGGTCCCTGCCATTCAAGACGACCCAGTCTCACATCAGCTCAGGATGGAAAGGCTTCGCACAAAGCAAGTCAGTCCTGTTAGACCCCGTACGGGGCAAAACTGCACTACCACCCTGAAGTCCAGAGGGAGCCCTCTGGGCTGCTCGAGCGGCATCAGCAGCATCCCTGGGGGCGAGGACAGCAATTCCAAGCGACAGGCAAAAGAGGTGGAGGAGGACAGAACGGCCCGGGAACGCGACAGGCAAAAGAGGTGGAGGAGGACAGAACGGCCCGGGAACCAGGCCCCCTTACCAGGGAAGCCGAGGGTAGAGTCAAAGTCCAGAAACCTGACACTTTTCCGTGAGAGGTAACAACTGTTGTTTGCACTCGGGAGCGGGAAGCCGGTTGAGAGCGCCTTCGTCCTGGGCTTGGCCTCACGTCGTTGAAGGTCACGGATCGAGAAGGCAACTGCAGCTTTCCTGACCCATTTCCCAAGGAAGCGTGGGCTTTTTGATACACGGAGAGGCTCGCCCAGACCCGATCTCAAAGGCGCGCCAACAGCGCCGCCCTCACACCATATCTCACTTCCAGAGAAAGGGTGCAGCACAAGGTTCGGCCACCTGGATGGTTGTTGATGTCCCACTGTGGGGCATGCTTTGGACCTCTGGCAAAAGAGAAACTGCGGCGAAGGCAAGACCTTCCGCGGCCATCATGCATTCGCAGACTAGGGCAGAGTCTGCGGGGAACGTGCCAACATTCCTCCGAAAGGCCACAGTGAAGGCCATGGACGTATGGACCAGTAGTCCAGAACTTTGCATTGGATGCAGTTCCGAAGCGCCTCTTGTCAGAAGAAGGCAACAGGTCAAGGAGGCTCCCTGGCACAGAGAAGGGTCAAAGTGTCTCCTGACAAGCATCATACGAGCGAAGTGTTCGGCAGGGTGCTCGGGGCTGCCTTTAGACCCTGAGCAAATGAAGAGGCCAGGGGGAAGCAAGGAGCAACAGCTCCTGTCGGGTAGGCCCGAAGAGCGGCGACGAGACGAGCTCGTGAAGACTCAGGAAAGGCAGAGAGGAGACAGAGACGAAGGCAGCGGGCCCCGAGCTTGTTGGCACCGGCAAGCGCACACTCACAGACTTGCAACCTCTCGTTCACTTAGTCAGGCGCAAACGGACTTAGGACATCTTAGGACAAAGCTTTCTGAGACGGGCCCGTCTCGTTGGGTCATCCGAAGCATTATGTCTGGTGGGTCCAAACGCAAAGGCAGGAAAGATCCCTGAAGAGACAGAAATGGCTGCAGAGCGTCTCAGGCTGGGCCGCAGGAGCTTGACTGAGGATCGTCCTTTCGCGAGGGTGCCTCGCTCACACGAAGAGTCGGCGATGAAAAACGCCCTGCAGTCCCGGCCTTCTTTAGCAAGCATTCACCTGGCCGTCACGGCTGATTCGGTTTCGTAGAAATTGATGCGCATGGGCCTATCCCAGCCCCACGCGGCGATAGCCTGCCACTCCGAAGTGAAGAGCGCATCGTTGATGGCGACACTCTCGACGCCGGAACTCGGGCCCTGATCTGTCGGTCCCTTGGAACGGATAACTTCAGCCAGACACTGTGCGGCGCCCCTGCAAGGCAGCCCCTCAAGCTTACGAGAAATGAAGAAAAGAAGGGGCAGAGGGCAACTAGCATAAACCAGACCCGGGCAGCCGATCAGAGCGGACGTTTCAAGAGCCGGAGGGATGAGATGGCAGCCCTCAACCCTCAATAGGTAGATGCATGAGCCACTCGAGGACAGGCGCGCGGCTAACATTAAACTCAGGGGAGTCGCTGAGGTAAGTGATCGGTGAAACGCGGGATCCTTTCTTAGCACAGCTATCGGCTACCCCACGCGAGCCCGCAAAGACGTAGATAACGTCGAAGTCAAAGGCATGCGGCCTGGCACCAGCCGAGAGGAAGCTATCGAGCTCAGCATCCTCTTCGGGCGAAAGGGGTGCAGGGTCGGGAGAAGCTGCTGACTCAAGCAAGGTGTAGCAACCTTTCTTGTCAGTGCTAAGCCACAAAGAAGCTGCCACTTCAGGCCGCACTGGCGAGGCGCACACAGCGCCTTTTGTCATAGACGAGTCGGAGCACTTTGCAGCGATGTTCGAGGCTGCGAATGGCACGAGAGAGGCTAGGATGAAGAGCTCTTGCGCCTCGCGACATTGGCGAGGCCTCAGACTTTCCCAGGGCAAAGAAGCCATCAAGTACCGAGCTCCTGAACATAAGCACCGAAATCCAGGAGCCCGCAAGAATGGAGGCGAGCTCTTCGGAGATTGCAGGAAGCGCAGCGGCTTTGAGGCTAAGGAAGGCCAAGGTGCCGAGACATAACCCTCCCATCAGCAAGAGGCTCCTGGGTGGCGCTCACTTGTGCCCCTGCTGCAGTAAAGAGCTCGAGACGCACATTAGTGGCATCACAGCACATTAAGACGAGCCATTCCCCATGTAGACTCTCGATTCCACATGGAACAGTCGGATCGTTCACGAGTAGAAGTGACTGCTTGAAGTGTAAACATGTATGTATAAACATGTACGTATGCATGTACGTATGTATGCATGTTTGTATGCATGCATGTATGTATGTATGCATGTATGAACAAAAGCATTTATGCGTGTATGCATGTATGCATGTATGAACAAAAGCATTTACGCATGTATGCATGTATGCATGAATGGAAGGGTGGATGGATGGATGGATGGATGGATGGATGGATGGATGGATGGATGGATGGATGGATGGATGGATGGATGTTCTCTTTTCTATTTCTTTACTTACCTATTTATATAACGTGCTGTACGCTTTCGGAGCAGCCCCCCACCTGTGGCCATCTCGTAAAAAACTACCTGAGTCATTCAACAGGAGAATGCAACTAGGGACGTGAACCCTGGACAAGAGAAATCAGCATGCAGCGAAAGGCTTGAAACTGTCAGCGGCATCTTTCCTTCGTCCAGGCAACTCCCACACTCCACAGGTCGCAGAGTTCGGAGTAAGAACCTGGCTGAGTCGCAACGCAAGTAGGGAATGCACAACGGAGGTTGAGAACGTGAAATCTAGAATAAAGTGCTCCCATGGCTACAAACACTTCACGGGAAGCATGTGGCAATTCGTGCAGGTTCACCCCGCCACAAATCGGGGTCCGATGCAGTAATGCAGCTGGGGAGCCTTTTACCACTTCAGGCGCCATATAGCCCAGTGAACCACAGCGCTTGGTCATCAACTCCCCCCTGGCATGGGTTACAGGCACTCGAGCTACGCACCCCTGCATGGGCTTTTGCCTGCCTCTGGAATGCTGTTGCCACATTGAAGTCTGCAAGCTTCAGCTGCGGGCGGAAACTTGTCTTCAGCACGAGAAGGTTCTCGGGCCTGCAGATCGAGCATGGCGGAGGAAGAGAACGCATCCAAAGGAAGACATGTCCCGAATTGCGAAACGCAAGACATGGCCGTTTTCTGTCTGGAATTCTTTGACTTTTGAGCCTTTGAAACCTGTCCCGACTGAGCAAACGAAATTCTGAACCCCGAATCTCGGAGAGCGAAGGCATGCTGTCTGCCCCCTTCGACCCAATGCTAGTGAGGTGCTTGATGTCGCGGTGCACAAATCCCTGCTCGTGGAGGTACCGGGTGGCATCCAGAATTTGCCACAAGCAGTTTGCCACAAGAGATCTTGACGGAGCCATGTAAACAGGCATCTTGCTCACGCCCTGCTCGTACCGGTTGGCTATCCAGCTTTTCAAAGTCCCCCCGCTGCAGAGCTCTAAGATCATGTACAGCATCCTGACTGCCAGGGCGGTGGCATCTCACCAAGAGGCAGCTCTCGCAGCTAGGGGCATACCACGTTGAGAGTCTTCCCCCTCTTGCAAAAGCAAGTTGCTCTTACTCGCTCCAGTAGGGGTTGGCTTGCCTTCCGCTAATGCATTCCAGGCAGCTGGTTCTGCTCTCGCGACTGGTGCAAGCCTGGATGGCAAATGCGAGTAAGCTTACTCTGATAGGCCACTGAAGCTGCTCTGCATCTTTCCAAATCAGAGATCCCTCCAAAAATCCGACTCCGTGCGACACAAGAACGCACGGCAACCTCAAGAGAAGCCTTGGACACGAATCTCCGGCAAGACTTTAGACCCCAACACTCTGCTGCCCGCGCAGGCCCCGAATGATTGGAAACCCCGCGGCTGGGAGTCTCAGCCCCCTGCAGATGGAAGCTCTCTGAAATTCTCAGACTCTGACGCCCTACTTCCTTCAAAGGTACGCAGCACATGCGCAAGATCCATCGATAGGCTCTAACACGTTGCAGGCAAGGGTCGGACGATGTTGCTATGCTGCAGGCCCGCCAGGAGCTGCATTTCAGTCTCACTTTCCTTGCTGGACTCCATGACCTTCACGGCAAACCTCCAACTCGGGATGTCCACAAGGCATGGTCGGCTGCGAAGGCTTCGGATGCTCTGGCCTCTTCTTGGTTCCTTTCCGGACGACCTCCTGAACTTTAGCAAACCTGCCCTGGCCCAGCAGCTGTTTCACGTCGTAGTCTTCCTCGAGGCATCTCCGAGAGAAAGGCACACGGCTCTGTTAGAGATTCCGGTGCTGTTACGAACTACCCCACCCGCCTCGAACAGTGTTGGCAATGTTCGCACGGTTGAAGACGGCGACGTGGTCGAAGCGACTTCGTCCGCATACCTCTGCCGGACCGAGTCCTTCTCCACGGAGAAGGTCGCGCTGCCTTGGCCTTGCTCGGCCTGGAGCATGGCTGCTAGGCTTTGAGCTGGCACTTGCCTTGGGCCGTCCTTCTTAACATGAGCATGCTTTCCCCTATGTCAGAGGGCATCAGCTTGGCCGTGGATGACCAGGAGGAGGCCACGCATGCTCTCAGACATTTGATGCATCCTGGAACGTCTTTTCAATTTGGCTTGGCCCAGGCAGAAGCACTCCGTCTTTCGACAAGTTCGCAGGACATCAAGGCTTCCGCAGGCTGCGGAGTCGCGACGTTAAGGCTACAAGACCTTGCAATCCAACCCTTAGGGTGAAAGATCGAGGCGGTCAATGGCTCAGTACTTGGGCAGCTTCGCCGCCATGCAACCTGGTTGGTCGTGTGGTTTCACGATTTTGGTCCCCTGCGACCAGCATGGCTCAACTTTGGAGCTCATGTCTCGGATGCTTGGCATGTCCTGACAGACGCAGCAAAGTTGAGGACATAGCAGTTGGTGTGGGGAACTCAAGCCCAGTCGTGCTAGATGGCTTCACAAGTTGCAGTTGTCCGCCTGCTACGCCGTTACGCCTTGACATCAGAACTCCTAGCATCAGCTAAGAACATCCAAAACAAAGACTGACAGTGGCATTGATAAGTATGCCTTTTGCTGCCATCCCGGACCGGGGTCCCTGTCTGCACCGCTGACACGTGAGGGTGCTTGCGGCGCAGTATCTGCTCCTTCTTCCGAAAATAGGCTGCGATTTCCTGCAAACGGTGGGGAAGACTTGCTTCTGCTCTGACCGTAACACATTCGTTGTCATCTGGTCCGAGGGTTGAGCGGGACGCTTTCATTTTCCGTTAGAGGCTGGCAGCGGGCTTTGGAATGTGAGGTTGCCCTACTAGTAAAGGGCAAGTCTTGACAGACAGAAATTTGATGACGGCAGCAGATGTGAAATATCAAATGTTAGCAATGCGTAGTTGCAGAATAAGACAGGCAAACATGCTCATCCGTGCGCGCGCGTGTGTGCGCGTGTGTTGATATGGATGCACGCACTTCTATACATATGCATGTACATATGCATGTACATATACAT